TAATCCTGATTGTAATCAGCAGGGAGCACTTGCCTCCGCCTGGGCGACTGCTCTCTCCCCTTTCCTGGGATTAGACGGTTGTAGAAAATTAGTTTGGAAAAACAACATAACTCATATTTATGCAAATCACTCCTGCTTTCAAGCCCTTTCCTCCCATTGAGCTCAGCCATGTTGCTTTCTATACCTTGATATGGTAATGGTCTCCAGAGGCTGTTCAGGCCGGATTAATGAGAGACCTATGCACGCTCTGGGTCTCCGCAGAACACAGGCACATTCCTCCACTCTTGTCCCTCCCATACATTAACAGTGTCACTTTAATATGTATAATAGCCTGCTACGCACTAATAATTAAAATGTCTTAGCAGTCTCCGAGTTCACAGATCTTGTATATTCATTTAAATTGTCGTATATTTGCATTTCTTGTTTATACAGCTGATTATACTCACTGGATGAATCTTATAAAGACTTACGTTTTTTTGCTACATAAGAAATGGGTGTGACATTACTCCAGAGTTCCGTTCCAGCCGAATGAAGTCATTTGATGCTCGCTGTAGCGGATCCATGGGTTTCAGAATGATGAGGAAATGTAATTTGAAGCCAAGATCCACATTCAGACTGCAGTGTTTTCATAGTCTGTTAAGAGACTTGAAAAGACAAATATTCTAAGAAGAACGGGGAATCTGTTTTTCAATTTCAAATTTTTCTTCAGCCCTAAATCACAGCAGCAGTTGTCTCAGAGGATTTGACAGAGTTGTGGACAGACCAGAGAATCAAACAGTTCCAACAGGAATACAATAATAACACACTGGTCCTCTCTTTCACTTTTCTGTCTGAAAAAGATTATTTTAAAGTTGTGACAGAACAGAAGCCAAAACAAAAAAAAGAAAACTAGTGATGGAACCAAACTGTTTTGAGAGCGAGAAGATGGATTATATTGCATTTCCCAGCTTTAACTTGTGTTAAATGATCAGCAGTTTTATTTCAGCTTTATCACCAATATTAACCATTTAAAACATAAAATTCCTCTGTAGGCTTCTCTCAATTGGCGACAGTGGCTCAGTTGGTAGAGTATTGGCCTTTGAGCCAGAAGGTCGTGGGTTCGAGCCCACCTCAAGACTTTAACAATCGACTCCCACTGATGTCTGCAGTCGTTGTGTCCTTGGCAAGGCACTTAACCTCTGGGAACACCCGATACCACAGTGGGGCGGCTGCGGCTGTAAAGTGCCAAACTGCTGTTGTGTCCTTAGGCAAGACACTTCACCCCCAATGCCTAGAATGAGTCTACAATGGCACGTACCTACAATGGCACATACTGGTTGCCTCGCTTCTGTCAGTGTGCCCCACGGCAGCTGTGGCTAAAGTAGTAGTTTATCACCACTGTGTATGGAGGGAATGAATAATGACATATAAAGCGCTATATAAAACCGATGCATTATTGTTAACATATATTTGATGCTTTTTGTCAAACACCCCTACATAGGCCGCACTTGAATACAATCCACATGTTTTCATCTTGTAACACAGCTGACGTTGCAAAACAAAACCAATAGACCAGCGGTGTCAAACCAGTCTGTTAGAGTGAAAACCTGCAGCCACACCAGACCTTTGAGAACCAATTTGACACAATATAATTTTTATGAAGAGTGGTTTTAGCTCACTGTTGACTTCCCATCTCTACTAGTTTATTATGAAGTTAAAATAATTAAACTAAAAACTAAAAACATACAATGGTTGCATTGCTGTATAGGCCGCAGGGTTCAAAGATCTTGAATAAAGTAGGCGCTCATAGTCCGGCAAGTACTGTAAATAGTTATTCTGGGGCACCATCACACAGTTGGTTTTGTGTTGCCATTATTAAACTTTCTGTGGCAGTATTAGAAGTTCTGTCTGCGGGCTCGATGTGAGAACGACATGCTAAATATAGAGCATCTCTCCTCCTGACACTGCTGATTAGTGGATCTGTTTGGACTCATAAACGCATGCATTTATGAAGCTTCTGGGATGTATATTCAGGTTATCGTTTCAATGGGGAGAATGTGGATGCAGCCCTACAATTTGCCGAACAGGGATCAGATAAAAAATAAGCCACAAAAGACCGGATTCATTTTTGTTGGTCTCAAAACTGCCTGCTCTGGGGAAGTGAAAAAGGCGGGAGGGGACGTGAACAGCGCGATCCCAAAGTCTAGACTGGGTTAGTGTAGAATAATAAGCTGAGTTTGTGCGGTGAAACTGTTCAAAGTTGGAGTTTCAAAATGATACAAAAAAATCAATTTGAATTTTTTTTTTGTGTCACCCGAAATCACAGCAACTCTCAACTCCCAACGACAGGCTGAGGTCTAGTCCTCAGGTCCAGGGGGTCCAGGGTTTCAAGTCCCATCATTGCGTTTATGGAAAGACATTTAAAACACAACGGTAAAGTCGAATGCCAGAACAGTGGAACGTTCCAGACAAAAAGCTATAAAAAGTTATTTATGGAAATCGGTCACAAACTTCTTTCTCTTTAGCAATGAACTCACGCCGTATTTGAAAGTAAAATTAGAATAATGGGTGAAGTGGACTGAGACTAGAGGCTTTTTGTATAAGTAGCTCCAAAATAAAAGCGTTGTAATCGTGCAGCATTGTGCATGAGGTCAAAAGGACAGAAGCCAAAGACCTGAATGACAATCTGTCTGTTTTTATATTCTGCCCATAAGGCTTTCCAATGTTCTTTTTGCATGTTATTGTTGTTAATCTCTTTCACAATCAGAATCTTGTGTGTGCGTTCATAATGCTGCATCCCCTTAAGTTAATTAATCGATCAAATGTATTTATAAAACACAATTTATATTATTTCTTTGAGCACACCAACACTCCCTGCCATAAAAAAGTACCATCTATAATTTTGGGGAATCCGGCCTCTTTCATGTGCTCTTCTGGACTGTCTTCCCTGGACTGCATTGTGAGTCCTGGATCTACAGCCTGTCTGTTCATGGGAGCAAAACTCTGTCTAAATATGGGTCTCTACAAAGTTTCTCACATTTTTCCCTACTAGGTTTTTGAGTTTTTTTCTTGCCGATGCAGGAGGGTCTAAGGACAATTATGACATTTATTAACATTTCTGAACTCATGGACCAACTCATGGACTCATGCTCCTATGTGTTGTTGATATTGTATTTCCTGTGTGACGCTGACGCTGACGAATTGACAACTTCGTAAAGTCCTCAAAGACGACTCTTGTTGTGATTTATACAAAAATAAATTGAATTGGATTTAAGACAATTGGACTGTTAATAATCAGTGTGTCTAATTGAATATCATTCTAAAACATCAAAGTAAATTATTTAAGTTAGAGTGCTAGTATTATTATGATGATGATCTATTCTACAAATACACTGGACTGATGTATAAAGACTGTGCACTTGTCCCTGCACTCCCTACAGCAGGTCCTGGTCGTAACATGAATGTAATCGCCACACACACCCTGCCAGCTCCACACCAGACACTTCTCTCCATCAGTTCAAAACCAGTGGCCGTGCCTTTAATCTCCCACATCTGCAAAGCGTCCACGTCCAAACTTTCTACAAGAGTTTGTCCTGGAGCAGAGACATCACCATGACAGCCGTGCGTCATGTGATCCCATCAGCAGGTGGAGTTTGCTCACTTCTTGTGCAGCATAGCAACAGCGGCTAAAACAATCTCACCATAACCGCACCGTCTCCTCACAAGATCCTCCTCAGGAACACCAGGCCCAGTGTTCCCAGTGATCCCAGTGTTCTCTGGCTCTGGCGCTGTAGTTGTGGATCTGTTGCCGATCACACGCAGCCTGTCAGATATCAAAGTGTCATTGTACATTGTCACATGTCAGTTATGTAAAGGCCCAGTCGCTGTAAGGCCGTCTGCACGTGAGAAACACAACCACACATGTAGTTACTGTAGAGAGAACTCTTTGAGTCAGTCTCTTCTGATGATCTCCAGCTACAGTTATTCTTCACTAAACATCTTGGCTCCACAGGTGCCCTACAGTAAAGTAGGGCACCTGTAGTATTAGTTTTGTTTTTTTCTATTTACCACTTTGTGCATTTCAAAAACCTCAAAAGTAGATTTTCTGCTGCCGGACTCAGTCTATTATAAACGATTGCTTCCAGAGGAGATGTTCATATACTATTGGCCATCACTAAAAGTATAACAATATAACATGATCATAACTATACTATAAAATATGACAGTTCTCCTGTCAGCTATTTATACCTTAATTGTTTTACTTTGCAAATGCCACAATATTTGTTTTATTTTAATTATATTTTGTTTTATTGTATTATTCGTTTGGATGGAACAATGTGCATTAATAAACCAAATGAAAGTAAATAGACCGATTGTAGCCTGGGGCTAATTTCTATCTGTTGTCCCATAATTGAATTGCATGTTTGGATATGAGATATTTGTTTTGTTTTACTTTCTATAAATTCTGGGGTTTACATAGACAAACATTACTCGTGGTTAAATAAAGTGGAAAAGCACAAAACATGAGGTCATGGCTGTGGAAAGCTGACAAGAAAAACAGCTTTAAAGGCCACACCTCCGACCACACTGCTGTCATGTTTGACTTCATGGAAAAAGACAAAGAAATTAGTCTAAATGTCGGGAAGCGGATTGTGGAAGGATAAAACAAGTCCTGTGCAAACATGGTCTGAACGGCCGTTCTGGACAGATCCATTACCCAAACAAAGTCACTTCATTTGGAAACATAATCAGACAAAACTAAAATGGAACGGTTTGGCCATAATGACCTGATGTGGAGAGCAAAATTTCAAAACTCCATGTGGAAATCCCCAGAAATAATACAGCATGTTTGTCCCAGCAGAAAGAGACTTTTTTATTATTGTCAATTATTATGTCACTGATCTTCTGAATCTTCTGAGTAGTGTAATTGGTGAAGCGTAGGCTACATCCAAAATAAATAAATAAATCCTATCCTATAAAGTAAGATGATTATTATAATAATAGCATGATGCGTACAGTACATGAACCGTGCAGCCCCCTGCGCTCTGGTTCAGCACCTTGGACAGCGGCGCACGCTCCTGTGCTCACGGAGAGTGGCTCGTGGAGGGGGCGTGGTTGTGAGGGAGGGGCCCATGTCCCCTGGAGCAGAGGACGGAGTGGACACACGCTGGGCACGCACAGATCCGCCCACGGAACAGCGTGTGGGGCGCGTGGACTGTGGATCTGTCCCCGCAGGAGCCGCTCATGCTCGTGACACCCCACGCGCTACAAGTCTCAGCCAGAAGCCCACTTTTCCTCTTTGATCCAACTGGAAGAGGACGCGCTGTGTAGAGCTGCCTATGGTCGCGCGCTGGACCTGAAACTTGCTCTCCTCTGGGACCTGTTGTTGGTCCTCCCAGATGAGGGACACGTGAGGACACGAGAGGACACGTGAGGACACATGTGGACATGTGTGGACTGCGCCGCGCCGCTGAGGGACACACAGTGCGCCCAGGACGCACAGAGGTGCGCAGAACGGCAGGAGCCGCGGACAAGCGGCTTCTTCCATTCCTCCGTGTCTTCTTCTTTTATCATCTCTGCGTTTTGTGTCCACACCTGGCGTTAACGCGCAACTTTGGACATTATAATAATTAAGAAGGAATATTTAAACGAAACAATTGACTGAGCAGGCAATACTTTTATTTGGTCAAAATCTGCCTCATTACGCACGAGGCGGTCTTTGTAAAGGGAAGTGAAATTCCAGAATATCACCATCCCCTCTGTCCATCATCTCTTCTTCTCTTTACTTAGTTGAAATAATCAGAGGACTGTTTTATAGTAACAGCGGGACATGTTCTTGTTTTGTTTTTGACACAAAAGTTCAAATAAACCTTCCACACGTCGGACTTTGTTTTGTGGATTCAAACAAGTCCACGAGGATTTCTTACGCACAGCGCTGCTGCAGGACGCATGTGGGAGCCAGCTCGGGGGCCTCTCTTGTGGCGCTGGTGAAGCAGCCTGTCCTTTACGCGCGGGCTGGCTGTGGATGGCACTGCGCTCTGGCTGGGCTTGCTTTGGCCGGGTGTTGCGCAGGCTTTGCGAGCTGCAGGGCTCGTGGCTGCGGCGCTCCAGCAGCCTGTTGTGTCTGTCCACGCACCACGACAACGGGGAGAAGGCGTGGGGACAACACCAGCCCCCGTACGTGCGCTGCTGCTCCGCGAGGAACCCGAGGGGACATGAACCCCTCGGACGCCGCTTCCTGTCGGCCATGAAGCGGCAAAACGTGCGCACCTTGTCCCTGATCGTGTGCACGTTGACCTATCTGCTGGTGGGAGCCGCGGTGTTTGATGCACTCGAGTCGGACTTCGAGATGCGCGAAAAGGAGCAGCTGGAGGCGGAGGAGAAGCGGCTCCAGGGCAAGTACAACATCAGCGAAGACGACTACCGCAAACTGGAGACTATCATCATGGAGGCAGAGCCGCACCGCGCAGGGGTGCAGTGGAAGTTCGCTGGCTCCTTTTACTTTGCCATCACGGTCATCACCACTATAGGTAAGGGTGTTTCTGTGCATGCAAACTTGTTGCACTACAGAGACAGACTGGTGACCTGGACTCACACTGAAGCGCAACAGGTGATGGTGGGAGTCTATCATAGAGTCTAGTGGAAGTCCATCATAGAGTCCGGGCATTGTGGACTGGACGTGCATGTGCAAACTACTCCCGTAAACTTGTCAGCAACACGTTGTTGCTCTGAGCCGCGCGGGAGTGCTGTGGCTCTGCTCGTATCCACATTCTGCTTCCGCGATCTGCATGTGGGCAGCATTGTTCTTCTCTGTCAAATATAAAGTGGCGTGTGCGTGGACAGGGCAGCAGCGCGGGATGTGAGTCACAAAGGCCGGCTCCAGGAGCCTCATGCTGGGGTTAAGCTCTACTCTGTGGTGCTGAAGGGACAGCGCAGCCTGACGTCACTGCTCTCCAGCATGATGCTTTTACGCACGAAGCAGTTGTGCACTATTTAATATTTATCAAGTGTATACAATCTGATGCAGACAATATTACTCATCACTACATTTCCCATAGACCCATAAACAGCACAGTCATTTCTGAGATTATCCTTCAAAGAGACAAATTGCATCATTCCCTGCGTGAATGTCTGCGTCACAAATTGTGCTCTCTCTTTTTCCCTAGATTACAATTTAACACATTTTCAAGCATACAAATAAACAAAGAACATGAATAATGTATGCTCAGAGAGTAGTCAGCACACGAGAAAACATTACTGCAATATGAAGCAGAAATAAGGATTAGGAAGATGCAGAATGCCCCACTGGGTTTCATAAATTCAAATGTGTGCTGACATATGTAAGTTGGATGAGCAGAAACAGACATGTACGATCCAAACATTACAAGCTTTACGAGGAATACCACATCTCACGCAAACACTCACGCAGTCTGCAGACAGTTGGAACTCAATTTTCTTACAGTAGATGATTCTGGAGTTGATATATACATTGTTGTGATCCACTGTCCCTTGGACTGGGAGAGTGTTATGTAAGCAGAAGAAGCAGAGACAGCTAAAGCACTCTCCACTGTGGCTTCGTGCGCCCGGCAACACTCAACAAGACCTTATGCACACACTGGTCAGCAGGTTTGTGTCGGCTGATATATGGACAAAGTCAACATTTATGCTTTTTGGGAACTATTCTCCAATGTGCTAGGAAGAGTTCTTTCCCCTCAGACAAAAGACATGAAACATAAAACTGAACCCATGTAGAAGAAAACATCCAGATAAGAGTCTAAAATCACCAATCTTTCTACTGACCTACAGACCTACGTGTATGGCCCTCAGACCTTTTCCCATCCGCAAACTTCATACGGTCTCTCCCTATTCAAATGAATGGGAATCAATACCCAGTGAAGGTTTGCAACTTGAGTGTGCTATATCGATGGCATGTTACACCCCATAATAATTCAATCAATCGATCAATCAATCAATCTTCATTTGTGGAGCCATAGAACACAAAGTGCTTCACAGCCCACATCACATAAAGCATAAACCCACAGGGCCTTAAAAACAAACAGTAAGATCATATATTAAAAAAAACATTCATCTGTCCGCAATACTTAGCCTCCTTTAGCTTTAGATTTCATGTCTTGTTTGTAGCAGATGCAATACCAGTACCAGTACCAATTCTAAGTGGTGCTATGTCTTTTGGATAAAAATACTATTTCATCATCCATAATCATACATAATACAAAAACATAATAAGTGCTTTATCCGTCTGCAAAAGGAGTAATTTAGCCACTTATTAGCTATTTACATGTGCACAACAGGTCCACAACAAAATAGAAAAGAGGAAAGTTCTGAAATGAAACGGATCAAACGACGTCGTCTAAAAGCATAAATGAGTTGTGTGTGTCCTGCTCTGAGCGCAGTGTGGAACTACAGAACTATGCCCAACAGCTCAGTAAACAGCTCTCACTCAGCGCAATCTGTCTTTCTCTAGCATATGTTCTGCTCTTTTACACTCCACAAACTCGCTGCCGCTTCTCCACGTCACCCTGTGTCTCCAGATTTAACATCACAATGAAAAAAGTCATCAAATGCCAAGAATATCTGTGTATGTTTCTAGTAATCTACTTTAGGGCGAGCTGAGATTAGCCCGCGTGGTGTGTGTGTGTGTGTGTATGTGTGTGTGTGTGTGTGTGTGTGTATGCAGGAGGCGGGACTTACATCTGCCAATCACTGACAGAGCCAAACAAGTCTGTTTTTTTTCTAAAGACACTGCAGTTACACAGCTTCATGACAATAACACACTACTTTTCCACTCAATTTGGTCACTTTATATATTAGAAGAATAAACAAAAGTCTCCATATGCATGCCACGCTACGTATTAAGATATATGGGACTTTCAATTTGATTCGATTCAATATATTTTTAGATTATACAATACAAATAAGTAAACAAGTCATAGCTTTCTGTCCCTTGTCCAGTGCTTTGCCACATTTTTTACAACAAATATCACAGTAATGCTGAACTTACTGTGGTCCCTCACTGTATCGCGGTTCACCTTTCCCTGTCTCGCTGTTTCTCCGATTTGTGCGCCAATTCTTTTTATTTTAGAGTGTGCTTCTCATGTTCTGCGTATTACACCAACATCATATAACCGCTAGTAAAACATGACAGTTACCGCTATCTGAGAACAGAAAAAAACTTTTGTGCACCGCAGTGGTTAGTTCACAGGATTACATTCAGCCTTTTTCCGATTTTTTTAGCACACCCCAAGCAACAACTATCATCACAACCTTAATTTGAACCTTTCCTTTCTATTCTTAAGAGCAGTTTTGTCTACTTTATCCAGCACTGCACTAAAGAATTGACTTTTGCCTTGGATAGAGGGTTCTTTAAGTTCCCTGTATGAGCAAAGAACATTTTATTGATACCTCTTTAGTCCAATATAACTCGGAGCACATTCCATAATGCGTCGTATATACTATATGTGCACCAGCGTTAGCCTTGCTTACCAGGCCTCCCAGGAATGGAAAACTACTGAAGCTTCTGGCCGACGGAATCATCAGTACACAACAAGTCAGCGCACATTTTTATTGTGTCTATGTCTCTGCTGAAAGAAAACAAAGCCAGAGAAAAGAAGATTTATTTTACAGCCTTTGAGAATTGGGGAAAAGACTGTATCGTCTTTTCTGTTGGTCGATGTGATTTGCTTTTGCTGCATCACAAACATCGGTTACAGACTGTGAGGGCATTAGTGGGCCCCATTATTGTATTCATACATCAACATTTGCTCGTGAGACATCAGTGTGTTGTGTTTGTGGGTGATCCATGCATGTTTTTGGTCATTTTTTGGTTACATTCCCCTGGTTCCCCTGACCGCCGCCGTCCAGACCCGCCCACTGTTTTGACTTGCGTTGTCTGCAAACGGTCTTTTCTGAGTGTGAGAGATGTGGACGATTGGACAGCATTACGGATGCGTTTTTACTCAAAAAGAAAATAGAGCTCCTTTGTGTAATGTTGATTGCTTTTTTCCTGTTGCGTGCACGGCTCGCTTCCCTCTCTCTTTCTCTCTCTCTCTCTCTCTCGTTCTTATCTCTCATCTGCCTGTTTGTCTGCACTCACACTTCTGATCGTTTCAATCCAGGTTTTGTGAAGTAAAAACAGTTTTCTCAAAGCGTAAGTCCTGCAGCTGTCTTTACAAATGTGGATTTCTCTGAGATTATTGCTGTTGCCGCTCCCAAACTGTGGAATAGTCAACCTACCTAAGACACATTATAGACACATTTATAGGCCTTGGTTTTTAACACCAACTGAGCGCTACTGTTTTACCTCTTCAGAAGTTTTTGTGTGTATTTCATTTGTGTAAGGCACTCTGGGCGGTTGGTTTTGTTGTAAATGTGCTATACAAATACATCTGACCAAGACATTGCTAATATCAATGTGAAACAAAAATGTGTGATGACCCTGCTCCCAGTGAACCTCAAACTGAGCATCTGCTCCTGTTCAGAGGCAGATGTCGTGGTTGTGACTGGCTGCCTTTTTTTTGCATATTTTGGCACGGAACTTTTTCTCATCGATGAATTCACTGTTAAATACAATTATAGAAGCACTGTGTGTATTTATATTGGGAATGTGTTTATGGACTCAAATGCTTTTATAGCTCTCTGGCACAAGAATATCCTTCAGGGTTAATAAAGTTAATCTAATCTAGTCTAATCTATTTTCTATACAGTATATATAATTATATGAATTTTTCAAATTTTAGTATTCACTGTCACTTGTAGTTTATATAGTACATTTTTTAAAAATCTATAAAGTAAAGATAAAGGTGCACTGTATTTATCCCCGTAGGGCAATTCTTCCTCTGCATTTGACCCATCCTGATGCCACCTAACAGGGGCAGTGGTCGCCGTAGTACAGCGCCCGGGGACACATCAACCAGCTGTAGATGGTTGGCTTGGTCAGGACTACCGGATTTCTAGGATTTTACCTAGTGTGCATGTTTTTAGTGGTAGGGAAAACCGGAGCACCCAGAGGAAACCTACGCAGACACGGGCAGAACATACAAACTCCACTCAGAAAGATCCTGTTACTACCGAGATTCGGCACTTTGTCTTCTATCGAAAACAGTAAACTATATTGATCAGACACAGTTTCGCATCTGTTCTTTTGCTTTTTCTCAATAATAATGCATCAGTTTTTTATATAGCGCTCTTTTGGACGCTAAAAAATGCTTCAAATGTCCTTCACTCCACACACGGTGGTGATAAACTACTGTAGCCACGGCTGCCCTGGGGCACTCTGACAGAAGCGCGGCAACCAGTTTGCCATCGGCCCCTCCGACCACCACCAATCATTCATACACACACACACGCACACACACACACACGTCCGTCTAGGCAATATGAGTGAAGTGTTTGCCTAAGGACACACAACAACAGTTCGGCACCTTCGCCCCACTTTGGCACCTGATGTTCCTAGAGGTCTCCCATCACAGTACTAACCCGGCCCTGCCCTGCTTAGCTTCAGAGGTCTAACAGGATGTAGCTGACAATTGAACCCTGGTCTGTCTGGTCACATTTGCCTCCAGTCTCAGTCGGCAGAATAGATATATATATATATATATATATTTTGTGTTGTTGCTTGAG